ATGCCTAGACGTATACAGGAGTGTATTCAGCTGCGGGGTCGCCCAACACATTATTAGTTTTTTTCTTATTACTTGTAAATAAAATTTCGTAACAATGTTATCGTTTCATTCTTGATGTAAGTCTACCTCATTGATAATAAATCAAGTTGAAGAAATTATTTTTTCTGGGTGTAACACTTTCAATGTCACGGAGTATACATAAAATACTTATATTTGTGCCGTTTTAAATTCCGGAGACAGAATGTTCGCATCTGATCCAGGACAAAAAAAAAACAAAAGCAGCATCGACAGCTCATAATAATCGAAGTTGGCCGCTGTGCCGAAAACAACATAATTTACGAGAGGCCGGCGAAGCGGAGGGTTGTCGGACCTGCCGGCCAGCGCACAAAAACTTAATAGCTTATTTATTCAAAATGTGAAAAATTCAAAATGGCCGCATCGGCTATATCGACCGGCCGAATAGGCAGTAGTCGTACGGTGTCTGCAATCCCTCAGGTGTAACTACTAATTTCATCTCTTTATCTTGATGACTGAGGTTCAAAGTTGCGAGAATTGAAATTATTGAAGACATGATTTGCGGCGACGTAACGAGACCATTTTTCAGGAGAGGTCAGACAATTGAAGTTTTATCAACGTTTTTCGAAATTTTGTCAACTTTTAGCAACTTTGTCAACTTGTTTTCTACACTACACTACACTTACGAGCCATGCTATCAGAAGCGAAAAAGCACGAAATAGCTGTCCATGGTTGACTATAGGACGAAAACACCATATTTAGTTTGTGTGACGTTTTCCGGTCGAAACTTTTATTTATATCGAACGGGTAATTTTTTTAAGAAAAAAATCATAGCTCGGCATTTTATCTGACCTGAATTCACCCCTGTTAAGCATCTAACATACATCATCTGTCGGACGGCTGAAGATAGATGGATGCGAATTTTTGTTTTCATGGAAAGTTCCATATTTTACAGGCACCGAGCATACATCTTACAACCTACGCCGCGCCGCTGGCGTGGTTACAATTTATTAAATCAAAAACAACAAAAATAATGCCTCTAAGATTTTCTGTCTCCTAATATACTATATAAAATTGGTTTTTATAGTTCTAAGAAACATTTTAATTTATTCATATTGTATGTTTGTCTTCAATAACCGTAATGAAAATCGCAATATTATATTTATTGCGGGAACACAATATTGTCAAAACGTATATTTTCTCCACCTGTATAACATTAATATTGTCAATCAAGATCACTACAATGATGACATCTTTATCTCACGTACACGTGGTGTTTACCTTTTTTGTCGCTCAGTATATATGTGATTTGATTCGGCCAGACAATTGGTTGATACAATATACGAAGTATGTCTTACAACTAATATTGGAGTACTGTAAATCAACGTTGAACCCTTATTTTTATCATTGATTGGGAGAATAGGCGAAATATGACATACAAACAATATTGAAAATTAATGTTGAACCAATACATTTCAAAAGAAGTATTGGTTTAATAATGTTAATAAATATTGGAACAATACTGTCATAATCGATTGGTTAACATATAAATTGTCATGCATCCAATATTGAATTTCAATATTGAGCCGCTAAAGAATCCAAATGTCCACATTTTTTCTTACATCACTATTGGAAAATTAGTTTGGGCCAATGTATCCGTAATATTGTTCCTATATTGAAACAATATACGTGTGCTACTTGAGTATTCGAGAATTATTTAATACAAATCATGTACCTACCCGGAATCCTCGGAATCTTTAGACTATTAATTTGCCAACATATTTTCGATTACTCTTTTGATATTCAGACGTCATTGGTGACCGGTCTTAATCTTAATTTTTTAGTGTTTGGAAGTATATTTCTTCGCCGTACCGAGTTCGCCAACTTTTCTAGATATGTTAGCAAAATTTAGTGAATCATTTGTTATTTGGAGTACTCCAATATAGACCGTTATTACTATTTATTATATTATCATACGACTTATCAATTTTTGTCAACTTACCCCTTCCCCCTTTGAGTTTATCGTCATTTAAAGGTAAACACGAAAAAATATATCGGTCATTTATGGATGCAATACGCAGAGTGAAAATTCAATTTTAAAATATAATTGACGTCGGCGTTAATTGTTAATAGGATAATAGGTTAACAGTACCTTGTTTCGGAGAAGCCAACTTTCACCGCTTAATTTGTTACAGCCTAAACCAATATTAATTATTTAGAACGAGCTTGTTGTATTTTTATACCGATTTTTCATTCTACCACCTGCACGTAATTTTCAAATTTTTTCTAATTGCCTTCACGCCTCGTTGAATCCATGGATGAAGAAGTCCAATTTTCATCTACGAAAGTATTAATGCACCGCCGCCTGGGTCTACGCGAGATTATAATTATTTCCGGCAAAGATATTTTTCGACTGAGGTCTGAAGATTGTATATTACGGTGTAACGTAATAAACAATGCCTACGTCTTGTTTAGGGTCATGCATCAGCCTCGGGGTGTCTTTTATTAAGTTAAAGATAATAAATCATGCGCACTCTGAGCGCTTTTCGACTCCACGCCTAATAACTGTACCTTCTAAGTGAATTTTACGAGGGGATTTATATACAAAGCATGAACTTGGAAGTCCATATGTAAGTGTTATTCTGAAACATGACGTCAAGTCGGTTGACTCTGAACTTCTCATGCATCAGTTCATAAAGCACAAGCACAAATTAGATAGTATCGAAATAAAAAAATAGTTGCTATGGTTTTGTTCGTTGTCCAGAGACCAAATATAATAACTTGCTAAAAAAGTACGAAACAGATGTCCATAGTTGACTGTCTTTGGTTGGCCAGAGGAAGGCAGTAAGGCAAGTAAGAATCTCTGAGAAAAAGGTCAGTCACGAAAATGTATAACAGAGAAATTAAACGTCCATCAACCAGGTCCATAGAATTAGTCCATAGACATTCTTTTCCTGCCCTACCCGTAATACCGTCCATCTAGCAACAACACATCTCCCCAATACCTGATCGCACGATGCTTCAGATGCGACAACGCGAACAGCGCCAGTCATCAGTTTTAAGAGCAAATGTAAGGAGAAATCCATGATTTGTGAAATATGCCTTACAGGTACGTAGAATTACTTGGGTTGGAAGTGTATTAATGTGTGTATCAAAAATTGGTGATACACTCTCCTCCACCCCACTACAAACGCCCACCCCCCATTTTTTTTTGTCCTAATTTTATTTTCAAAAATGATCAGGATCCTCGGAGTTTGAGCGATTTTTTTTTGTTTTTGACATTTTACTCCGCCGACTTCTAAAAACTATAAAGCTTTTTTGTCCTTGGCAAGTAGCATCCTTGTGTGAAAACTTCATTAAAATCCGAGCAGTAGTTTCCAAGTTATACACGGGCCAAGGATTTACGGACAGACAGACCAATGGAAATGAGTGACATGATCTTCCATGATGTACATATACATGTTTTATGACATCCAAAAAACATAACACGTCATTTTCAATTAAAATACTTCCTCGCTAGTCGCGTGGGAGCAAGCAACCCCTTATTATCTAATAGGGATATTGTGTCTCATTAAGAAGAAAAGGTAAAAAGAGGGAATTTTCATGATGAATATTACATTTTCCATACATACGCGTGACAGATAAAAAAATTAATCCACCTTGAAATGGTATTTCTTATGATAAATAATGATTGAAGAGTTACCTTCAATTGACATAATGCCTTGCTGTATAACATGTCGCCGTGAATGTTTTGATACAAATTTTTAGCTTTCCCTCCTTATACTTCAAAAACATCAAGATGCCTAGAAAATGCAAGAAAAAAGTAAAGAGAGTCTAGCATAATTTGTATTTACTAGTTTAGCCATTATAATAGAAAATGTAATTCATGTAACTTTGATATTCAGTTTTTCGTAAACTTTTGACCTTCTGGTGAAATTATAGGTATAGAACGAAAATGACGGATTGATGGATTTAAATCTTTTAAAAGCTATCACATCTTGGCCCGGTTTTGCAATCGCAAGTTAACTGCAACTTGAATGCTAACCAGAAATTAACTCTGAAAAAGCGTTTTTGAATATCAAGTTTGTCCTAAAGTGGTAGTTACCTTCAACCAGAGGATCTTGTATGGGATAACTATAAAGTTGTGGACAAACTTCAATGTCTAACTTAATGTGCCTCACAATGACATAAGTTGCCATGGATGACAGGGGACACAAATACCGAACATCACCAAACGCATAGAACACGATAATGCAAGCATAAAAGCAGCGTTGTCACAATAAACGTCTTATGGATTGTTGACCAGAGCTTAAAAAACGAATTCACACTCATCTTCAAGTCATAGTTTAACTGGACACTTAACCAGCAATTGAAACACCGTGTATTTTAATTTACGGGATAATCGAATAAACGTGTTTATTATTCTCGAAAGAAAAACCAATTTAGGTCCAAAAATAAAACTTTTAAAACGTCGCTTCTCTCCAGAACAAATGCATTCCTAATGGAAGCTGTAAATAATCAACCAATATGGGCAACAAAGATGGTCACAAGGCAGAAACAAGAATCCATTATCTATTGCCCTGCACAACAAGCGATTGCGCGAAATGGATCGACCGATGAGACATGCAACAACAATTTCCATAAGTGCCTACCATAAACGCTGTAATGGGTTCACAGAACCATGTAGAAAAACCTGGCTGATTATCATACGAGCACGGAGTCAACAGCTACATCTTAATTTACCATTAGGATTTTTTTTACAGACCATAACAAGATGGTAGCCACAAGGATAAGCAGCCGTTTGCATTTCGAAATGGCACAAAACAGAACCCATGGGGTACTGATGCCAACCATTAAACAATGGTAATGGTTTTTAATGAAAACACTGAAACCAGTTCGCAATAAAAGGTCCCTTGGTAGTGGTTACGACATTGTTAATCTGATCCCTATAACTGTGTTTAAATATACTGCCTTACGATAAAAAGATGTCTATTGGTCATAGTGATGCCCGACAGGGTAAGTACTTACTTTCACATTTTTAATTGCAAAGCATCCACCCTTTAAATGCCATATCTCCTATGGAGTTCATTTATGGGGTCGTTCTTCTGGTTAGGCTTGAGACATTCATCTCTTTTCACTGAGCTCGCTCATTTCGTACATCTCTCTTCAGTGAGTCATCAAAATCATTTAAAAAGTTGCCATTGACAGTGACAACTGATTGTCGTACTGCCACTGTCAGCACTGGTACCATGTCGTCAGTTCGCAGTTCAGTTGCTGCCCGATGCAGACATGCTTGGCATAATTGAACGAGTCATTCCTAACAAGAGTCGTTTAATCATCGCTCACTTAGAAGAGTCCATCATTCTGAACTACTCGTACGCGAACGACATATGGCTACCCTGGTGCTCTATCTCTAGAATGCAAGAGAAAGCTATATGTGTAATTGTCAAGCTTAGCTCCCGGGATCATTGCAAGCATGATTTTATTCGCCTTATAGTTATCCATAGTTTCATCATTGTACATTTTTGCCCCGGTGCAGGAGGTGCTTAAGAACAGACTCGGATTCAATTTTAATGGTTCATATTATCCAGACAGTTTTAGATCAGCTGCATTTATTAGATCTCCAGGGTACCGTCTACAGAACCCCTCAAATGTCGATTTACGTATACAACGTGCTTCCAGATACCGTAAATTACCTCTCAGTGCATTGACTCAAAATAACAGTGAAGAAATTCCTGCAAAAAACGCATTCGATCGGATGAATAATATTATAACTGTAAAAGATTTTAATCATGATATTTCTAGCATTGGTTTGATCCTGAATAATCAGTTTTTATACTTCTAAAGTTTTTATTACTTCTCATACCACTGGTGAGGTGATCGCGAAAGACTTCGAAAATGGATGAAAGTTTTAGTTTTTGAAAATCCGTCCAGTGCCGGCAAAGCTAGGGACAAATATATATCGCTTGACTTCGTCTTTTGACATTTCAGAGGCTCGTGATCATTTTAAGAAATAAATTTGTAGGGATTATATCAAAGATTGAGGTTTATTGATGGTGGGGAAAGATTTGTCTTAATTTTTTGGCCTTAGTAAATATATACGCTTCCAGCCCTGGTAATTATACGTACCTACTAGACATACTGTACACATCTTAGATTTCCCTGTACATTTGCCCTTAAAACTTAGAATGTTAGAGATACACTTCCTTTGCGATCTTACCGATGGGTGTCTGTGTTTCATATTCGGTGGTGTCTGTGGTGATGCCGTGGGGGGTAAGTGACGAGGAGAGTCCTAGCAAGGTTGCCAGATGGTCGGTAGGTAGTATCGGTAGCGCTGAGGAGAAATTTGTAGTCTAGATAGGTTGGGACTATGGATCAATTGTCTGGGGCTGATTAACTGACTTGATTTGCTTTTTATCATACATGTTTGTGACTGAGATTTTTCTTCGATTTCCTAATTATGAATTCAACATTCTATATTTCGGTAAGGGGTTACTTTAGAACACATGCGTATATATACCTACCGTTACTGGAATATTGATACTGTTTTTTGAATCACCCTATTCAAGTTACTACAAGAAATATAAATGTTATCAAAATTGAACGTAAATTAATATTCCAGATGCTTCAAAGTGACGGTTGATCCATTAGTAGTAAAATAATTTGCCTCACATTCGAGTGCTTTCTGAAATTAAATATGACTGTAGCGTTTAGATGCAATCTGTGTGTCCCAGATAGAAATTTTAAATGTTAAGTGACAAGAAGTACCATTTGAATACGTTGATGTTGTAGACAAATGGAACTTCAACTTTCTCAAGGATAACTATTTAAGTGGATTCAAATGTCAGATGATTCGGAAATAAATGTTATGGGTGTCAGGACAGGAATTTGTCAAATGCAGTTTCAAAGACTTGACTGAAGAGAATTAATGAAATAAACTTATATCAAAGACAGAAGGAAAGTTGTTAGTAAAATTGGGCGATTCGAGATTTGCGTCAATACAGGATGCGTGTGGTGGAAGTTATATCTATCTACATTCAAAGTTGCATTTTTTATGTAATGGTGGTTAGTGGTTCATCTCCATATGCAACTTCAAATATACATATATAGTGCTCCATAATAAATGCGTCGGATATCAACATTGAAGATCCGGGGTTTCTGAGGATGTGGAATACGCTTAAATTATGTTTTTCTACATGTTATCTAGAGGGCGCTTGTAATCTAATTATGTCATGTTACGACCTTCTTGCTAGTAACGTTTCATAACTTTTTGTCGCGACTATTGTTAGAGAAATTATTTTCAAGTAACAAGGCAGCTTTACATTGATTTCTATTATCCTTTGAAAATCGATTGCTTAATCTTAGTCTTTTTGAAGGTTTCTTTTTAATTGAAAGTAGAGTACCTTTTTGACTGAAAATATCACTGTATCACAATTTTCAATCATAATAATAATATGGTACTAGCAATGGAGGAATATTCAATAAATAGCGCTCACTATCAAGGATATTCCTTAATGACGTTTTAATATTACAGGATATAAGTCTCAAATAAGTTTATAAATAACAGTTCATAACAAGATAGGTCTGCATTGGAAAAATCGTTGTTCGCAAATTTTTAGCTACTTTGCGTTTAATTTTCATGGAAAAACTTTACTTCCCACGCCTACTGGCGGAGGAAGCATTGTAATCGCGAATTTTTTTTTGTTATATGACATGAACATCTCGAAAACCTATTCCATTGATTTCCGTCGGTTTGTTTGTCTGTCTGTCGGTCTGTCCGCAAATCCTTGGGACGTCTATAACTTGGGATGTACTGCTCGGTTTTGGATGAAATGTTTACAAAATATCAGTAGCGTACGAAATCTTTTGTACAAAATATCGCAAAACCTGTTTGAAGGGAGTCTTTTATAATATGTCCATATAGAAATAAAGTAGAATACAATTCCTCACTTCAGAAACCCATACTTTAAGCTAATATGTCTATAACACAAGCTTATGCTATATAAAAGCATTTTAAAGATTAAACTACGGCACCCACCTTCAAAAAATAGCGCCATTTGACTAATGAATAAATAATCCGGGACTATTTTGGCACATTCATTACGGAATATGCATATACATCACACCCTCCTGTAACTATATCCACTTTGGATGAGGCTGCGTGTGGTTCAAATATTCTAAATAGTTATTTTTCTTATTATCGACGAAGCAAAGTATTCTAATCAGCTCAAAAAAAAGGAAAGGTAACATTGGGAATCTATGATTATCTATAATTATGTGGTATAGAAGGAAAACATGGTACCGCCATCCCAAAACTATCCTAATATGTCCCGCAATTAAGATGATGACCGTATCTCGCTTGGGAACCTATGTAGGTGGTGCATGACATAGAACCAAGATGGTACCTAATTTTGGTAATCACTTCCTCTATACGTGATGTGTGATAAATCATGGTAATCGTAAATCAAGAATACGTGTTGTTTTGAAGACACTTCATGCTTTCATCCGGAGAGGTAGTTAAGATTGAGGGTCATTATGGTACCACGTTATAGGCACCCATTTCTCTGACAAAAAATGCTTATGAGGATCATTAAAGCAGATTTAATGAGACGCATCATGTCAAAGATCGGCTTGAAATTATCCTATAGGATGCTGTAGATTTGTTACGTACTATGGATAATTTGAGGCATGTTGACTTTGTTTAGAAAAGGGAAAGTATTGGGTTGGCGGTAATTTCAGTCAAAAAGTTCTTGATATCCTGTTAGCATTTTGCTTGCCGCGTAATCTCAGAAACGGCCTCATGGATATTGATGAAACTTAGAAAGAGTTCCGTCTGTCTGATTGTAGTATGTTTCTTCATTTTTGGAAAAATGTGCAGTGGTGAATTTAAGAGTAAATAAATGCAAGGGTTGAAAAAGAAGAAAATAATCACGATGCGGTAAGGACCAAAAGTAATTGTAGAAATAGACTTACTCGTATATTCATGCAGTCGAAGTACTAATTGAACCTTATCTTTTTTCTCATAGGGAAAATTGTGGAATTTCCATTGGAAGCTACAGTTTGCTAGTGTTGAAGTCATCCACTGGATCATTTTCTATTGCTTATGATACATATGGAAAAATATTATCGTATGGCTTTGCATGGGAGAAGTAGTCACCTAAATTGCTCTGGACTTGAAAGGTGAGGAAGGTAGAGCGTGTTCAAGTATGGAAGAAGCTTTGCTATTGATGGTGGATGTCGACGGAGCTAGCTAATACGGTTGTCCAAAGAGTAACCTTAACAAATAACCTCTCAGCAAGTTGTCAAACCTGTCATCCTATAAGAAAATACTGAAAAGTCATTTTCAGCTCCATAAGAAGGTCATCTCAGGAATCGATCCAAAAGTAGCCATGCAGTCTACGCGGTTAGTGAGAAAGTCTGATTTTTGTATTCTTGAATTTGACACGTCGCTCACGCCGTACATTATTCATTAAGATATTCTTCAAGATAATGTCCTAGCCTGTGCTGTTTTGGAGCATTTGGACCTACACATTCAATGTATATCCTCTCAGTTATGTTGCCAAATATGATCACAGTAATTCCGTCTCAATTAATTAACGAAAATTTTTATTAAGCACGGCATCAACCTTGCAAAGATAGATCACCTCTGAAGCTATCGCGTTATTGTTCCTAAGATCTCGTATTATCAGAATTTCTCAGCGACGAAATAAGAAATTCCATATTCTGCGATGCCAGCTCAAGAAGTGGCAACGCTGGTGCACGAAGCCGGTGGTAGAGAGGTATGAATGTATGCATAAGCGGTTGGACACATGCTTTTTTTGGCGCCGGCACGGCTCTTAATTTGATTGAGTTTTTTCTGGTGAAACGTGTTAATCAGTGCTTATATCCAGCTGATGCAAATGTTCAGATATTCGTATCACTGTTTCTAGTTGGAATTCAAAGTAGCACATTCGACAAAACACGGGCGAAGAAGGTCGAAAGAAATACAAAGAGGGGGAAGAAGAGATGGCAAAGGAAGAAGAAGCTCGTCCACATGTCGAAAGACAAGACTGACCGCCTGATTGGTCACGTTGAGGGACCACGAAAAGGGCCGCCCAATATCAACGTGTGTGGCACACGTTGTCGGCATGGTGGATTCCAAACGGAAAAACTGAAAAATATGTTAGTTGACAAGATGGCGGTATCGTAAAGGACTTCCGTCGAGCGGTACGTTTACTAATTATCACTAGGCATCAGTTTACTTTTAACAAGAAAAATGTATGATGCTTGTCTCACAGTTCACATTTTTCATAAAGGTACTACCCTTCCCCAGTTCAAAGCTCATAGGAACAAGATGTTTTCATTATCTTTATGTGTCACAATTGTAGTAACTCTGTCGATAATATACCTTTCCAAAAATATAGCTGCATAACATTCATCAACCTTTTTTTAATTAATGTGCAAGTAACACATGTATTATGCAGCGTAAAAGCAAAAAATTTGACGGAGAAGCTTCAATGAAAATGAGAGATATGAATATGAAATTTTTTTTGTCTCTCCATAGAAGTACTTTTTTCAAAATCTTGAAGCTTCATTTTCTGAGCGACGCGCAGCATTGTTGTTGTACATATGATGATTCAAAAGACAATAACAATTTTTTTTGCCAGTGAAAGTGTTTTCGAATCTCGCATGCGACACGAATTATATTTTTGTGATCCTTTTCATCGTTTGTTACCTACACTATTTTGTTTGGATTTTAAGACAGCTGTTGGCAAAAGGTGACCAGTAAAGAAGAAAAAAGTGAGTATATTCAAACTACTCATACTTCTACTTTGTCACTTGGTGTTTTGTCGAACGGTGAAATAATTCGCAAGATTTTGTCGAATAAAACATGTCAATTGTGAGATTCGAGAATGCTCTTTTTTATACTATCTGCATGAATGTCTGCTAAGGTATACATGGTGTTTCATTTTATTGTTGCATAACTTTAAGATTCGATAGAACTTTTAAAATTAATGCATAAAGTCAATATAAACATGGGTCGAAAAATGCGTGGCTTCCGAAATACAGGGTGTTTAAATTTACTTTTTTTTAAATATTTCGAACAATATTTGATGTATAACAGTGAAAATTGGTATAAAAGGGTTTTTTGGTACGACAAAACGAACCATGGGCATAGTTGTACTGTAGCCGCTAGAGGGCGCTCTCTACTGTACCTGTAGTGTATTAAAATGACCGAAAAATTTTTCTTAGTGCAATTTTTTGCTTTTTGAAGAAAAAAACTGATTCTTCGCACTTTTCAACATAAAAAAGCTCTCTTGTGAATTTTCGTTATAGTTAGCCGTTTTTGAGATATTTCGATTTTAAGGTTCGATGCATTTTTAATTATTTATGATAAAATAACGTTAAAAAGTCAGTATCTCGATAATTTTTAGAAGTAGGCTGTGCCTGCAAATATTTTTGAAATTGAAAGCAGAATAAGGTTAAGCGTCAATTAGTTGACAGTTAGTTTTGTTGTCTGTTGAAACCTGAAACGTTTTTTTGCAATTGTGAATGCACGAAATTTAGTTTCTTTTACCTGTTTTTTTGTAAGTTTTATAAAAATGCCATTTTTATTCTCCAATCAAGAGTTAGCGGATATTCATTTTGTGTATGGCTTTGTAAATGGAAACGCAGCAGAAGCAGCCAGAGAATACGCACGAAGATTTCCAAACAGACGACATCCAACTCGCTCAGTATTTGTAAGAGTGCATCGCCAAATAATTGAAAATGGTTTTTGGAAATCTCCAAAGGGATCCAAACATAAATGTTCGTCAGCGCAGATTTACTCGTATGATTCTGCGTGAGTTTGATAGAGATCCGACCACAAGTGTTAGGAGAGTTTCTGGTGCCTTGGGAATTTCAGCAAGCCATGTTCTTAGAAATGACCATAGACGTCCTTACCATTTGCAACCTGTGCAAGGACTACAGCCAGGGGACGGAGAACGAAGAATCACATTTTGTCAGTGGATTCTTGATAGAACTGATAATAATAGGGAGTTTTTAAGTAACGTTTTATGGACCGATGAGTCATGCTTCACTAGACGTGGAGTGGTAAATTTTCATAATCAACATATTTGGTCGCATGAAAATCCGCATGCAGTTCGGGAAAGAAATTTTCAGCATGAATTTAGTGTGAACGTGTGGATTGGTATCTACCGTAATCGACTATTTGGACCCTACCTTTTGCCTGCAAGGTTAAGTTATGTTAGATTTAAGAAGATTCGCCTGGTTCCAGCTTGATGGTTGTCCAGCTCATTATTCGAGAATAGTTAGAAACTGGCTGGACGAAAATTATCCAGAAAGATGGATCGGCCGTGGAGGACCAGTCGCCTGGCCTCCACGATTCTAAAAGAAAAAGTGTACCAGACTCCCGTAACCACAAGCGATATGCTAATAGCCAGAATCAGGAATGCATGTGATGAAATAAGGCCTTATTTGAATAATGCTATACCACGTTCGATCATTCGTAGATGTGAATTGTGTATTGAACAATTGGGTTTACATTTCGAGCAACTACTATAGATTTTGTATGTTTGTCCTAACTATCCAATAGCATTTTAGTTGTAAATAATTAATTTCATTTGTTAAAAATAATATTGGAAAATTAAACAAATTGATATTCTGTTTTTTTTGTGTTTATTTGGAGTTAGGAATTATTGCTGTGTTTAAGAACACAATCTAAAGGATCATCTTAATTACTTGTAATGCCCAAATCGAAAATGTGAAAAAAATATTATTTTCCCATAAATAATTAAAAATGCATCGAACCTTAAAAATCGAAATATCTCAAAAACGGCTAACTATAACGAAAACTCACAGGAGAGCTTTTTTATGTTGAAAAGTGCGAAGAATCATTTTTTTTTATTCAAAAAGCAAAAAATTGCACTAAGAAAAATTTTTCGGTCGTTCTAATACACTACAGGTACAGTAGAGAGCGCCCTCTAGTGGCTACAGTAAAACTATGCCCATGGTTCGTTTTTTCGTACCAAAAAACCCTTGTATACCAATTTTCACTGTTATACATCAAATATTGTTTAAAATATTTATAAATTTAAACACCCTGTATTTCGGAAGCCAGGCATTTTTCGACCCATGTTTATATAGACTTTATGCATTAATTTTAAAAGTTCTATCGAATCTTAAAGTTATGCAACAATAAACTGAAACACCCTGTATAACGTGGTCTAAAGGTCTTTCTCGATCATACAAATGAGGAAGACTGATTTGATGGGTTTGGTAAGAAACCAGAAAAACTCAAAATAAGTGAGTTAGGACAAAGCGGATAGAGCAAAGTGGATACTATATTCCACCTCCGGGTAAATTTAAAATCGACAGCTTGATGCAGATAATGTTTGAATATTAAAAAGGAGACCTGTGTAATACGGGGTTAGAAACATGTTGAAAATTGGGTGGCACTTGCTGTTTCATGTTCAGTTTATATGATAATTTTGTAAAGAACTTACTAGCAATTCGTGAGTAACTATTCCCGGTGCTTTCCTTAATTATGTAATAAATAGCATTTCTGTAATACTAGCAAAATGTTTGAGGTATTCAGTTTGATGGGGACTTCCTTACTGATATGTGTTATATATTATATAAGTTATATATAATTTTCGGCATTAAACTTCAAAAACCTCAGAGTATTTTCAAGTAAAATAGAACAGATTTAACGTTTTTATATGGATTTTACCTGAAATATTCTAATCCAATTTTCTTTTGAAGAAATGGTACGACAAACATTTCTCAAAGCAATGCAAAATAACCTACAGAATTACAAAACTCGGCATTTTCAAAGTATTACAATTTCTACACCACTGACGTAGTTTGAATCTCGGAAATTTTTGTATGGATTTATTATGATGCCACTACTAATAGTACAAAAGTTCAAGTTGATTCTTTAATACCTGTACACTTCTAGGATATCATTTTTTCTAGATTTCAAAATTATGCACTGAGATAACGCGGTCATTTAAAAAGTTGTTCTGGGAAATTTTTATTACCTCTAATGATTTTTTAAACTTTCCTGAGTAGCTAAACTATTTGGTTTGATTAAATTGAATTATATTACCCGTCTCTTCCTCTAGATCACTATGTAGTTCACTCTCGCGAGCTGTCCGGAATCATGACCCAGTTGAACAAGCTGTCTCGTAAGGTATCCCGACTTCAGAAGAAGCGCAAAAGACGAGAGCCGTCACCCGAAAGCTCGGATAGTAGTGTTGGTGAAAGAAGCCTCTCCCAAATCATTCGGCCTGCTACCGTAGGTCTGGTAAACTACGATACCTCTTCATCGGGACGTAAGTATCCTATGGATGCATAATATAATTGTGTATAAAACAAAAACAATATGGCTACCAACGAGTTTTGGTTACACACGTCTGTCTAAGCAAGGGTACCCTTGTTATACCCAAATTGGGTATTTCCAACGAGTTTCGGTATAATCCTGTGGTCAACGAGTTTTGACAAACACACGATTATTTTATTACATTGCCAACGAGTTTTGGAAATGTAGGGCATCACAATTCTCCTATCTTGTCAACGAGTTTGACAAATTCAAGTTTGTTTTTTTTTACAATGCCAACGAGTTTTGGCCACATGTAAAGTAGTTTATGATGTCGTCAACGAGTTTTGATAAGCGCAAGACCAACGAGTTTTGGCAAATAAATACAAGGCGTCGCCTTTATTTTCATATATTGTCAACGAGTCTTGGCGATTTCTAAAGGCAGGTACAGTTGTATCATAATTTCTTGATTTCTTCCAATTTTGCAGCAGAGAATAACCTTGCCGAGCGCAATGTTGCCATATCAGACGGAACCTTGGAGAGGAACAATGTTGCCGAGTGCGACGTTGCCGAACGCAGTGTTGCTGAATGCAGTGTTGCCGAACGCAGTGTTGCCATCTCGGATGAAATTTTGAAACTTTTGGGGAAAAACTCTGTGGACGATCAAGCCTCTACAAAAGACATTAACAGCGAACTTGTTCAAATTTGGTCCCATATATTACAGGAAGGTTTGGATTCTGAGGTTTTAGCAACTATATGTAAAAAATATTCTCCTCCCACTAACTTAAGCCTTGCTAATGCCCCCAAACTGAACTCAGAGGTTTTATCGGTTCTCACGGAACAACACAAGCAGCGGGACTTGAAGCTCTCTAATCGCCAAGACCAGATGGGGCTGCCCTGGTGGCAATTGGCAAAGCGCTGACAATTCTGTTGGAAAAAGGGGAGGGGGCACATACCAGAGTGCTGGTCGAATGCCTCAGTGATGCCGGACGTTTAATTTCGGACATTCACCATGAAGAATCTACATGTAGGCGGAATTTGGTATCGGTGAGTGTAGACAAACAGCTCCGAGGAACCCTTTCTAACGTATCTGTGGATGGTTGGCTGTTTGGACAAAATCTGGGTGATCGGGTGAAAGCAGCTCGTGAAATGGAAAAATTGTCATCCAACCTGAAGCCTAAAGCAGTTACTGCTACACTGACGTCTTCGGTAAACTTCAAGGGTCTGCCTCGAGTGAATGTCAAGGGTTATCGAGGCAGACCGAAATACTCACGGAAAACCCCGTGTTTCGAAGCCAAGACTCCTCGGAAAGCCCCCCGATCAACGAAAGAAATTCGTCCAGCATACAGAACCAATCAAACCCAAGCCTATCAAAAGCGGACCCTTTAAAGGTAATTTATATAAGTGGAAGACTAAAATTCTTTTACCAGCTTGGAATTCGTTAACGTCGGATAATCTTCTGTTATCATGGGTTAAAGGTTATCTAATACCTTTTTCTCAGACACCTGTTCAGAAATCTGTTCCTAAGGAATTGAAATGGTCTTCAACAGAACAGAGATTTTTAAATTTAGAAATCGAGCGTTTGTTATCCCTGGGCGCTATAAGAAAATGTTCTTTCGAGCACGGCCAATTTCTTTCAAATATTTTTCTCACACCCAAACAGGGTGGCTCGTTTAGATTGATTTAAATCTAAAAGACCTGAACAAGTTTATTACGACAGAACATTTCAAAATGGAGGACCATAAAACGGTAACAAGATTATTGGACAAAAACATG